CTTAAACGGTCCAATCCATTCTCTTAATCTAAAAATCTTATTGTATTATGATACATAGAAGGTACGTAAGTTGTATAAAATGATATCTAAATCCCTTAAGAAGTTTTTGCATAATTAAGATTTACAAATACAAACATTCATTAGCGCCTCGCCTAAAATTTTCCGACCAATATATTGTTACACTTGCCGGAAACCGAGAAAGGGGAATTAATTACCAAACTTTTTGGTGGAACTGTAGGTACTCAACGAAAGATATGTCACAAGTTATAACAAGATTTTTAGATCTCTCATTCTATATGTTTTTATTTTCCAACTTCCTTAATATAAATACAATATAAAGGAGGCCCATCAAACTACCGTAGTTAGAGGTATTAAAGTATTACTTAGATGTCAAATTACCGTAGTTAAAGGCATTTATTTACAGATCACTAAAACTATAACTTTAAGTGTGGGAGAGCTATGCTTCGGCACGAATGGGTCGGCTCGACCGGAGTGATACCACGGCCTCACAGAAAACCGGCGTGAAATAACCACAGCGTCGTGTTTTGCCGTGTGAGTGTGGTTAACGGAGGCATAACCCTTCCCCTCCCCCAATCCCTCCTCAATCCCTAAATCTCCAAATCCCTAATCCCTAGAAGGTCGGCAACGCACTCGTAACTACTCCGTTGCGAGTGTCCATGGGCGGCGCTGATTGCTTACCATCAGGTAATCCGTCTGATCGTTTGCCGATCGTTTACATAAAAAAAAAACTATGCCTTAGTAACGATTTTGTTCCAGAAACATTGGCTAAGGTCTGCGTAAAGTAACTGTTTCTAAGGCACATGCATAAATATGGTTAAAAAGCTATTAACATTTTTATCAAAGTAAACCTGTTGTTCCGAGTCTGGGTGTGATGTGTATAACAAATTGTAAGTTTCGTAAAAGCATCCACGACACAGAAGAAAATTTTATCAAGATTAAAAAAAAAGAAAAGCCCTGTTCGGTTATAATAATTAAAAAAAAACATTTAATTATCTGTTTAGAAGTTGTACCATGTACCTAAAATCACGTAGAGATTTATAGTTTTTTTTTTCAAATATATCTGTAGCTTCTATATAACTAAGAACTAAGAAGTTTCTATATAACATAAACGCTTAATTGGAAGCAACAAAGAATATCTCAAATTACTGCAACCGTCGTAGTCAATTTACAAATTAGGTCAACTAGCGAGTGCTCACCCCTTCGGTTTTCGACAACTCTATTGTTTTCCGTAACGTCCATTGTTCTTTAGCCCCCATAATCAAAATGGTTTCCTGAAGACTATCCTTCTAAATTAAGATAATCAACTACGTATTTAGGAAAGGCTTATAATTAATTATTCGCTATGACTGTCTACAAGTGTATCTTAGTGACCAACTTGAAAACATGTAATACTCACTTCGACTATTATCTATGATAATGCTTATTTTATGGATACACAGATTAAGGCATCCTTTTGTGACTTTTCCGAGTTATATGTACCATCTAAGTTTATTTAGACACCACTGACATGGTGAAGGATCACATCGTGAAGAGACTAATGGAAATAATTACTTAGTATAAGTTAGAAATCGCCAATCCGCCTTGAGTAAGCATAGCGATTAATGCTCAATTCAAAAAAATTATTAATGTTCTTTGTATGAGAAGTGGTCGTTGTAAATCAGTGTTGATAAACTAAATACTGAGTTAAGTAATTATTAAATGACTCTGAGTACGATGATTACTTATTGAGTATTCTACTATATCCGTTTTAACCTACTTGAATTAGTATATGACCTCTTCCGTAGATACCTCCAAATATATGTAATTAAGAAGAACCAACCGAACAAAATTTACCTGGCATATCAATATATATTAGTTAAGATTTACGTCAATACTGCTCCAATATCTGTACACAAACAACACAAAGTAAAGCAATGTTATGTTAAATTGGCACGCAACAAAATTCACGACTACCTTTTCAGCAAAACAAACACACTGTTTCAATAAACTCGTGCAGAATTAACAAAACGCTGTGGTTCTTTGTGTTTTGTGCGGCGCGAAACACGGAAATGTATTCCAGCTAGAAGCACCGAAACTCTGTGCCCGTAAATAAGCACAGCCACTCAAGATGGAGGCTCTATGTAAATGTGTACCTCTGTTAATTTCCAAGCACTAGACTACATTGTGTCACCGCTCTGAGTGCTTTTCATTAGAGTGCACATTCAGAGGGAAAATGCAATTTCCCTTGCGAGCGAACCGCGACTCTAGTGAAGGGAAACTTGTTTTAATTTTACGATTTTATTATAATATTTTATTTAGAACCGTTTATATCGTTCATCACAAAAGTGTCTGAATATTCTATTGACAGATTAAGTGCTAAGATATCCTATATTATAATTTTCCAATCATTGATCGTCCATTTATGACTAAGTCATCATACGAAACGAATTCTGAAGCTACTTTTGAACGTACCTTCCACCTGTCAAGTAGAAACGCCAATATTATTACCTGAGCGAAAAAATTGTCTGCACTTAAGTTGCCGAGGGGGACACCAGCGAGCGCTGGGTTGCAAGCTTTTACGCATTCTTGTAATTTATTACGCCCGCTCTCTCTCCAGCATTTTTCATTGTGGTAATTTCAACGCCCCACCAATGATTGGCTCGAGCACATTTTTTTCTACCAACTCTCAAATTCAATGGTCATTTATTAACTCAAACGCAGCACATGGGATATAAATGGTGTGAATTTAAGGGGGAAAGTTGGAAAAATCCTTTTAAAGAATGAATGAATTTAACGTTAGTGGAATTGTGCAATATGAATTTTTCATTAGGCATTATTGACCAAATTAAAACATTGAAAATGTTGCTAGTTTTGAACTATCCCAATATGTACTGATCGAAATCGTTCGTTAATTGAATTCATCTCCAATCCTATGTTAATCATCGCAATCTGTAGGTAGCCTCAAGGATGGAATGACAAGGGCAGCAATAAAGCGTGTTCCCTTTCTACTCGGATAAAAAATACATTGAAAATATTTCCTATATTTTATTCAATACACAATGATACATCTTTGACTTATCGGATGGAACTACACAGACATTACAATACTTCTGTCCGAAAGGGAGAGAAAAGAAAATAGGAAAATATGTATAAAGCCGAGGTGGGCCGTTACTTATTAATTTTAATTTACGGCCGTCTTTCCGCCTGTACCCGCTTTACCCGCGTCAGTATTATCACGCTTTAGTAGTACTTTGGAAATAAAAAGAAGCTTATTTCATGACCTAAAAGTCAATCTTTACAATGGAAACAGATATTTTTAATCAATCCAGTCAAAACACCATGTGAGTGAAGTGACCGGAGGCCCAATTTTTCCCCTCCCCGAAATCTTTCTCCAATTCCTAAATAACTTGAAGCACTTGCAATCCCACTGAATTGCTTACCATCAAATAATCCCTATGATCGTTTGGCCACCGTATCACATAAAAAACAAACTAACCAAGTTATTTTGCAAAATTATAATAAACATACACAAATATGCCTCTATATCAGCCTCACGCGTAAATTGAAGTTAGAATTTCATATTAAAACTGAACGCTGCAAATTGCGCCTTAATATTATTTCCTCAGCCCTCGCTTTCCGCGATAGTTGGACGGACTTGCACATTATTGAATTCCTCGTTCGTTTCGACGTACATACGTACGTATAATTATTATGCAAATATCATCATAACATGAATGTGACGTAAAAGGAAGGTTATTTTTAGACACTTATGAAAAGTATGTTTCTATAAGTCCATGTAATCAAGGAACGTCGCGTTTTTGGGTCGAACTTAAACATAATGTAGGTATTTATTATCGAACTATGTATATAAATCTATTATTGATATTACTAGTAGATATTGGGATAAGCAAAAATATAATATGAATATAGATATGAAAATTCATAGTGTTAACTAAGATGTATAAAAATAATCGTCATTGAATGTTAATCCAAAGAGCGCTAATCTTTCTAAGCACATCATAATTACTTTAGTCGATTTAGAATATGTCTATAGCAAACATGCACACACCAAAGTTTTATAGACTCCATTCCATTCGTAGTGGAGTCAAAGACAAAATTTTCATTTCTTTGAACCAAAGAGTTCCTAATATTTGTCTATCAGTCGATGTTTTACTCAAATTAATTGATCAGTACAAAATAATAGAACTAGTCTACGGCCATATATAAGTTTCAATGATTATCTTCAATAGTAAACACATACATATAATTTAATGAATGCACATCTGTCACCGCGAACACGAGTGATTTATTGCAGGAAATGTAAGTTTTAGTTGTTCCTTGTTTCAGTCAGGCTTGACAAATGAACTTGGCTGAATGTAGTGCAAGTATCTCTTAGACTACCTAACTATATCTAGTTGCATATTTAATACGCTATCTACTTTTGTAGTAAGTAAATGTTATAGCGATATAAATCGTCTCTCCTAGTTATCACAATCTTATGTATCTTATGATATATAAAACAGCATCATTCCATTGGTAAACGTTAAACTAAAATGTTGTCATAGATTCCCGTATTAGATATCTGCATCATTTTTTTTTATTTCACTCGCAGTTTTAAAACTGTTTATTATATTATATACTTTGTTTGTTTAATAAAGTTATGAAAGTAACTTATTATAAGTATAATATTAAGTAGAATACAGAAAACGGCATTTATTTAGTTTAAAAATGAATTGATAGCATTTTTTTTTTGTTTTGTTTTTATTAATCTTCTAGCTACTCTCACGCGGTGCACGCACGCGGTCTCCATTTGAATTTAGCGTGATGTTTTATAGCCTATAGCAATCTGGAACATGGTAGCTATCAATTAGTGAAAGAATTTTGGAAATCCGACCAGCGGTTGCAAAGATCATCTCCGAACTCAGCGTTCGTTATCGCTACTTTTCAAGCTCGGACACGAATTAATATCATCACAATTTATATTTAATAATAATACTTACGCGCTGATGACATGCATATGTTGTATAGCTGCAGATGGTCTGGACAAACGTCTGGAGGGTGGTAGTGGAGCGTGTACTGGTCCACCAGGGCCATACAGCACTGGCTGGAGAGACAGCGAGCCACCCAGCGACATCGACGGAGGACTTGATAATCTGGATAAAGGAAAATAGTATTTGTAGTTAAGGATTATAGTATCAAAATACAATGACGCAGCTCTTTTTTAATTACTGTCTTTAATTTTATAAGTATTACGTTGTTGGTTGGCGCGGTAGCTGGGCAACTGGCTGCCGCGCAACGTGTAGCGGGTTAATTACCGCACGGAACAACTCTTTGTGTGATCCACAAATTGTTGTTTCGGGTCTGGGTGTGATGTGTGTGTGAAATAATATGTTTGTAAACGCACCCACGACACAGGAGAAAACCCTAGTGTGGGACAAAGTTTTATTTAAAAGAATAAAAAATAAAAAATTAAAGTGTTTATACGTACATATTTTCTATTAATTTTTCTTTAAATAAGTGAAACAAGAAATCGAGGATATACAATTTCATAAGTCACAATGCCTGATAGAAAACCAGTTTTTAGAATCACTAGACAAAATAGCGAAATAAAATAAAAACACAAACGCAAAAAGTTATAAATAAAACAACTCAACTAATACACTACTTAGGGGCCAACGTCAAGTATAAAGAGGGAGTATAGAGAGGATGTTAAGAAACTATACAATTAGCTAGACGAGGCTTACTACCAAAATCCGACAGGGAAATACTACAAACCAGTAAATCTCTGACAGAATCCTCGGATTACTTAGTACATTGCTACTAAAGTTATTCCGAAACATTCTCTTGATATTACTGATATTTGTTCACTTCTGTTTAACAGACCATTAATAAGATGGCTACGTTTGTTATAGAAAAAGAAATTAGAAATGAAATGTGTAACTATTATTAGCTATTTTGACTGTGTCGTTATTGATTTTTACGTAAAAAGAGTACTTAATGGAAAATAGTCTTTGAAATCTATTTCTGTTTCAATGTTTATTAAAATGTTAGTGTTGATAGAGTTAACTGACGTACCTGCACATCGAAATATCTTCGTATTACTTTAGTTAGTCACCATGTGAAAGTAAGTAATGCATATACAAACGCATCCAAGTTACAGAAGAAAAAAACATACCGTGGAGCATCGTTATTTTAGGAAATTCTAAGTTATTGTTGTAATCTACCCGTACACATCTAAATTTTTTCGTATAACATTAGTTACTATGTCAAAGTATTGTGCAAACGAATCCAGGATAGCAAAGAAAAAATATACTAAGGAGCATTTAGCGTTCATTATTTAAATAAATTTTAATTTATTATTCTTTATATCTATGTTTATATGTATAATTGCGTCGTTGCTACTTAAATTGGAAATTAGAATATTGTATTTATTACTTTAAAGTTCCCGTTCACAGAACACATTTTAAACTATTCTTGAATACACACGACTAGTTCTCGTACAAACACGTAGATTATTAAAAGAGAAACAGTCGCTTTATTATTAAAATTCAACGGTACCACGATCGATACAGTGCCCGTAATACATTCGAACGTTTACGAGGAAACCGTCAAACTGTATCAATATTTGTTTCTTTACTATTGGTTTACATTCGTTTAAACTAAAGGCTTTTAAAATTAAGCTGAAGCTGATTTAAGCTAATTTGTTCTAAGAGGATAGGCTCACAATATAGAATTTTCATAAACGCAGAGTCTAAATTTGAATGGCAAATAAAATATATAATCATTGCACTACCGATATTCTTAAAAACTATAGGATTAGGACCTATAGCACATCTGATTCCCTTGGCGATTAATCCAAACCAGACTAATTATAAAAACTTAAAACTAACTGATCAGGCAAGTGTAAGACAATTGCAACTCAGAATTAATCTCTTCAAAAAAAAAAACACAAAGCGAAATAAAGATCCGATTCCATCCGCAAAACAAAAGAACTCTAAAATGAGAGTGACCGCGGATGTGTGCTAACCCTCTTTTGTAGAACCATAGACTTCAAATAATGCAGAGACTAGTCAAATAAACTCGACTAACCAAATAACAGCAGCCCTGACCAACTAGATACCATTTCCCATCCCTATTTTTATTCTTAATTTAATTTCATTAAAAGGACGAATTTTCGCCATTTTTCCTTAAACCACCTTGGTTACACCAACATTTCGTAAAAAAATATAAATATTCTTTTTTCAAATCGAGTTGTGTGTTTTTGTATTAATTCTGTTTTCATGTCTTTAATGTATGTAAGTAATGCCTTTTTAATTAAACATTTTCAAATATATTTAATGGTTCTTGATTGTTTGAGATCTTTTGTTTACAGGAAGGAAGATTTATTTATTTATTTATTAAGGTAATTACAACAAGTAACAATCAAAGCATGGTGATTATAACAGTATATAGGTTAAGTACTGATTGATACCCTAACGTAATCACACAACATTATGTATGTTCTAGAATTAGCTAAATATTTACATAGAGTTAGAGTCTAGATATGTTAAAAGACTACCCACTTAATTTTAACTTGCATGATTTTCAAAATGTCTAACAGTAGCCTAATTTTTATATTCTTCGGATTAGTTAGCAATAATTGGCACACAAAACAACCTGTTTAAAACTTAACGTAAAAATAAAATACTAACTAAAAATTGAACGCCACAAAAACAAAAAACTTATCAAAACCAATCGTAGCTTCACACTCTATTCATTCAAAACAGTTACTAACAGATACACATACATTTTACGCAAAGAACAATTTAAAATAAAATTGTTTCCCGCTTATTGTACAAATTAAAACATCAATCGTAATTTAAAATTCGAATACTTTGTTATTTTTATTTGTGGCCAGTATAAAATGGAACGGTACATATTTAAAACCCCGCGGCCATATTCAATGTTCGTTAGGTGTAATGTGCATAGAACTTTTTCTCTTTGTAACTCGATCGCTCCCGTATTATATTGAGAACGCTTACAAATGTACAGACGGGATTTCTTTTAGTAAAAACTAAATACAGTTTTATTTTGCATCTTTTTCTTGTTATTTTAAAGTTGCATTTTCTTTGAGAAATGGTCATCCTATTTTTAGATAAAAGTAATGCTGTTTTTTCTGATTTAATGAGGTATGAAATGAATTGTTATGTTTATTAATATTATTTTTAAGGGAACAGGTTATGTTCAGGTGATTGTAATTAAAGCTGAGTTCTGTGTAAAGTGTCGATATCAAAGAAAATTGGTACTTCCTTTTAATAACTTATTTCTAATAATGCTGCTGCTTCTAAGAAATATTTATTGTATCAAAAACAACGGACGCTGACTTAATTGAACAGAGACGATACAAACTATCTTCTTAACTATTACAACGTCAGTCCAAACAAGTTGTTAGTAGTTCGTAACAAGTTACCTTCAACAATTCTCGTGATAAATACTCTTAATTAAGTTTTGTAAGCGTAACTTCACCTTTACTTATGCGTTAACGTTTACATCTAATGAAACTACATGAATAATTTTAACGCAAACTTCCGATGATTCTCAAACGCGTGTAGTGACTAGTTAAAACAGATACATTTTGCCGCGAAAGGATATCCTATTTACGAACACGCTTTAAATGTTTGTTTTCGTGGAAACGCAAGGAAATAGATCAAAAGAAATTTACAACGAAGCAAGTAAATTAAGTTCCTGTTCCACAAATTCTATTTAAAAGCGATGTAGTTAATGTTCTTTGCTTTTACTTGGTACATAAAGTCATATTACATGGAGCGCTTATGAAATTATTCAGTGCAGAATTAATTAATTTAATAGCATACCTATTAAGGCAAATACGTTGCGAAGGAACTAGGAATATTAATTTACCGGGCTACGAAGTACCTACAACTAATAAATAATCCACTTTTAATAATTTTATATTAAAGTGGATTCAGCTTATAAAATAGTTGCCTCATCAATAATCTTTAGAGTGTAAGATACATAATAATATATTGAAACTTGGTATTTATAAAGATGTTATAAACAATGACAAAAGAACTTAAAAGGACGTGTATTAAAATGTTTTTTGTATATCGACAACACGGTTGGCGCAGTGTTCGATCACTGCACGGAACAACACTATGTGTGATCCACAAATTTTTGTTCCGGGTCTCGATATGATGTGTAGGTATGTGCAATTGTATGTTTTTAAACGCACTTACAACGCAGGAAAAAATCTTAGAGTGGCGCAACGCGCAATTTAAAAAAAAAGACATAATTACCTCAGGGGTGACTCCAAGTGCACTCTATGGGACGAGCAAGAAGGTGCTGGTTGTTGATGCGAAGGGTGTGGTGGTAGGGGTGGGGGGCTGCTGTGGCGGCTCAAGGTCTCCGGAGATACTAAAGCAGCCCCCGCTGAAGCTGGGCTTGGCAAGGGCGGAGCGCTACCGCCAGAGATCTCAGAGTCCGCACCTCCAAACGTGGCGCGGGAGACGTGAGATCCTCCTGACATGTTGTTCGAAGGTATGGAGTAGCAGCTGCAACAAAAATAAAAGGTCATCAGAAAACATTGTTAGTACAAGAAGAAAGGATCAGAGAAACTATATAACAGAAATATACGTATATGGAACAACATCAAAAACATTTTAAACGCATCAATGTATTGGAAACAAGGTTTTGCAAAGTCATTCGATCGGAAAAGAACTTTCACTTGAAGGCACACGCCTTCCTTAAAGTTAACACGCAAAAGATGTTTATTTCCAAACTAATGGTTGGTCCACACTACCCTTCGACCCTACACTCTTACATAGTCAAGATAAATCACAAAATTATAGCTTTGATGTCTGTTTACGACCATCGGTCTTAAACAAGTCAATAACTTAGACTTCACCATCCAGACCTACAAAAAATCAAAGTCAAAGTCAAATGATTTATTTCAAATAGCCACTTCTGAACGTCAAGCAAAAACAATACACGAAAAGGTTTAACTTTATGTGTGTCAGTCTGTGCGTCTGTCGTCAAGAGAAGCTATATTCTCGTTCCAAAGTGTAGATTTCATTGGAGAAGATCGAGCAAGAAAAAGTGAATGCTCTTTATACTTGGAAACATTTACTCGTATCTCATATTCGGATAGTCAATAAGATTCAGCACAGTGTGTGCAGTAGACTGCATCAACAACATCCACGGTTCAGTTTAATTAGTAATAAGCACCAGGTGTGTTTCCCGTCGGGAACAGCTTCACCACTTTACTGTACAAAGTGCAACATATTATCTTGATAAACGTCGTCTGTGCTAAATGAGTAAATTGTATCTTCCATACACTTCTTTAGCCAATTATCACGTTTAGACTTGATACATTTCAAGGTTCGGGTAGTCTAACAGAGCTGAATACCTATAAATATCCGTATTCTAAAACATCATATTTCAAACAATCTGGAAAAGCGATCTCATAAAATAACCGTAGCTCGTTAGCGATGACACTTGGCGTTCCAATTTAAAACAAAAGAAAAAAGAATTCTAGAAAGTTCTTACTAGAAGAAAATTCTCGCAACTTTATAACCATTTTCTACCGTACAAGACAAAGACTAATGAATAGAAAAACTTATGTTACGCAGCGTCACTGAACAATGCCAACTATGTGGAAAACATTCCAAACTAATCTTCTTTGTTGAGTACCCAGTTTTAATTAAAGAACCTTCTATCTTTAATTAAAAACTAATGTTCAAAGTTCACTGTTAATAGATATCGAAGCGTGAATGCGTGGGCTTAAATTCTCGCGTATGTACTCGAAATTATATTAAATCTAAGGAATGGGCATTTAAAATAAATTTACTTCCGAAATAACAAAAATATTCTTCAATCATTACGTTCTTAAATATATATAAATCATCTCCCTTTGGAATATGCAAAATTACCTAATGGGGTATATTATATACTTTTGAGTATCTCCATTCTGTGTGGCGACGGTGCTTACGTCAGCGAAAATGGAGATATAATCCACGAAATTCATCACCATTACATCTTGTCGGCGCTTTATGTGCACTCAAATATAGGCACGGGGAAAATAAAGTAAAAATTGATAGCCCCCTTCCAATTCCACATCACAGGGAATCATGCTGACTATGAAATTTAGAAGGATAACTTTACAAGGAGTTATCAAGAGTAGGTACGGGCGGATTCTTCCCTAAGTGAGTTATTACGCGGGAAAATATTTCAGAACCTACGGTTGTCTCTGGTCGAGATACACGAGTTCAATGAACTCTCGAGTGCAGTTTTCCGCCTTCGTCTAGCGACATTTTGTAAAAACTTTTTTTATGAAATTCCGAAATTGCTAAAGCTTTTCTTTTCTAAAGAATGGATTGATTCTAGGATCTGATTGGTGTTGCAGACATTTTTATTTCCAAACTTTGCAAAGTTGGGTTTAATAAAATTCCAGACACAAAGTTTCGTTCATAGTTTTTTTACCTACAACATTTGCCTTTCTTTCCCAATAACAATGCAGATATAGGTATGTGAAGCATTACAAAATTAAAACATGTTATTTAATATGGATAAAACATAACAAATCATCGAATAAATAACCAAACCTGCTGCTGTCACTGGCATATACAATGAACCCAGTTTCCATTACAGATATTAACATCAGATTTGAATCAGCTAATAAATTACATTATAAGCAATAATTTCACTCGCTGTATTCACAAATGGCTGCGCTATCAAACGTGCAGAGAATGCAGTACCGCGAGTGAACACGAACATCCTCGTATAGTTTATGAAGTTCGATGGAACTTATTCAGAATCTCAATTTCTTTAGTTCCTATTGTGAAGTTTTGAAGTTTGGGCGGGAATATATTGAATTTGGAAGTGAATTGAATTAACGTTGTGGTTAGGTGTGAGTTGGATTTATGAGATGCAAAGTTGCAATTCTGTTGTTGTAAATACGAAGTAACTCTCGCTTTGTTGAGTTGAATTTGCTAAGTAACCTGAATCAATATATACCTAGATAATTTATATTGGGCAGTTACATTACGTTTAACGTTAATTCGATTGTTATAAAACATTAAATACATATATGAAGTAATACTGTAGAATAAGTTGACTAACGCCAATGGGTGACAAAGGTGACACGCGATGTAAGATTAGATGATTCTGTACAAATTAATCTTTATGTTTCAGCCCTCCATAGGTATGCAACAGGAATAGCAAACAATAAAACAATAACAACAGAAAATGGAGGACAAATGGAACAATCCGCATAAAGCCACGTCGAATACGTAAACTGATTAAATAATTCCAAGAAATCCTTATTGGCGTGCACCGAAAGTGCCACAAATCGAATCATCGTCGGTCGCTGGCTGGAGATGGGCGCCAGTCGCACATTTCCGCATCCAATATGGCCGCTTTCGATTTCCGGTCCCGTCTCTCGCGTAAACGGTTTACCTCGGATTACATACAACGTTTATTTTAATCAAACCAATGTTCGCCTCTGACTCGAATCATGGGATTAAAGCCCCGTCCATCTGGACCGCTTCAAATACGAACACGATGTATGTAAATCAATTTTAATTGCTTGTGTATCAAATGTACGCGTACATTTGGAATTTTGGCGACAACGCCGCGGGTAACGATATTACAAAGGGTTTGTTCATTCCATTATTTGCGTTTCCATAATGGTGGTCGAGTAAAAACACCATTTTTGTTTTATGTTTTTTAAATACATTTTATTGGTCAATATTTGAAAATACGTGAATAGCGATTTTTTGCCATTTCATGAATCAAAAGCCAGATAAAGGCCCAGTTCTTTTAAACCGCTAGTGTTTTTGTTCTAAGTATTCGAATTAGATCTAAACAAAAACAAACAGTTTTATTGCTACTGCTATTGTGTAAACTACAAAATTAAAAATGTTAAAGTAATAACATAATGCGTGCCACAAGCGCATGGAGATCAGGTAAAAATTAAATCTGACAGTTCCAGAGAGAAGGTTAAGTAGATTTCCCTCTAACACAACATCACACATCACATCACATCATCAACCTATGAGTACCCATTGCTCAGCAAAGGCCTCTTCTCACAAGGTGAATATTTGAGTATTATAACCAACCTTGCTCAAGCTCAAACTTATAATTAGAAATTATAAGTCCAGGTTCCTCACGATCTTTTCCTTCACCGTCAGTGGTATCTTAATACCCATAGAAAGTATCGCCATCGTGGGCTTGAATCTCCGGGACCATTTTGAACTGGCAAAGAGCTATTTGCATTCTACCGTAATGTTTTGTAAAAAGCTTGTCCTATCACAAATTGACTACTAATAAAATAGACACTAGCAAATAAAGTACGTGACCTTATCAACCTAATCACTGCCTACATAATAAGCTTCTGTAAGTCCAGTTCCTAAAACACAAGACGCAGCTATACCATCCACAAAGCATTTAGCGTTGACACAACTCATCAATCATATTGTGAAGAAGTCTCCTCACGTTACCTGTCATCCATAATTCTTGTGTTACCAGTATTAATACCAATATTGTTAGACATGATTTATTCTGTTTTTGTTAGCTTTAAGCGACGAACGTGGTGGGTAAAATGAACGTTGAGCGTTTAATTGGATGAAATACAGCTAATATAAGATAAAATACCAATCGTACGTTTTTCTTAAAAGATTTTTATTACAAAGGATTGTATCCTCGTACCTATATTTACTTTTCTAGAAAATTTTTAGTCTGAACAATGTCTAATTTTATACTAAATTTGTAGTGGACAATAAAGCTTTACTGCCATTTCACGATTATTATTTTTTTTTATTCTTTATTTTATGGGACTTTTGAACACAGTTCACGTCAGTCCCATCATAAACTAAGCTTAAGTTAACTAACAAAATAAACAAACTAAACAAAAACAGTGCTTTAAATATTAACTAATGAGTATATCATTTTTGCCTCACGGGATAGTAGGCGAGCCAAAAAATAATAAAATACGCCACGATTATTTCAGTGAACTCCCTGAACTTAAAACTTCCCACACAAACGTACATATATTGCCTTATAAACATAATCATATGTATTTATTTACCTAAGTTCAATCGTAGGAACTACCAGGATACCATAATACCAAAGAACTATGAACGTTAAGGAATGTCCCTACTTGAAAATCTCGAGCACTATTAAGCCGTCCGGAATTTGTGGTCCTTTTTCTATTCTCGAGTGGATATCGATTATAGGAACAATGTAATCGAAGACCACTTTCAGTACAATGGAACAGATTTAGCGAATTCCAAAATTGTAGTGTTTAACTTCACCTATTCTGAGAATTTAAGTACCTATAATAAGGAGAAGACTATTAAATTAATTTTCCTTAAAACATTCTTATTCTACCTCTTATAATGAGAACTCACTTTAATGACATTTAACCATTGTAATGTAAAAATATTCCTTTTTCGAAAATATTATAAACTATAAAAACGGTATTTATATTTTTAAGACACAGAAAAATATACAATCGTGAACCTAATATAGTTACTCCAATCATGTGGATACAAGAACGGTATTCCCATGCCCACACACAACGTAATGTAGATTTATGGAATGGTACAAACGCCTACTATCCGCTAATCATTTCATTAGATACAAAGGATAAAAATTGTTTTATGACAATATAATTACCTAAGTATATACTACTGGGTGCTAGTGGTTACTACCGACATCATGGTACCCCACCGAGCAGTAAGTTCTATGCAGAATACGATTATCTCTACATAAAAGACGTTATCGTTTAGAAGTCGACGATTTATTTCAGCTGAAAAAAAAAGCCATAACATCGGATATTGTAAGGACGGATGTTTTTCACGTAAAATCTCTTAAATTTAAAATCAGGATTTGAATAGAAGAATTTAACATACGGATAAATTAGTTATTATCTGGAATAACACATACATTTTCTACCTACCTACCTATACCTACCTACATATACACGGCTACCGCAAGCCGCCCATGTAACTGAAGCGAGGCTCTAACTTTCACTACCAGTGAAACCACACAACCTAAACCTCCTCTGTTAACTTTGCCACAAGATAAAAAGAGAGATGAAACAAAAAAAAATACATACGTATATTGACACGTATGATGATCATATTGTCTAGACCTAAGGTAAGCTTTTATTAAAGAAAAAAAAACATTTAATGGTCACTAAAATCATTTAGGTAATAATCAGTCACTTAACTGTGTCTTTGGCAATTATTTTCAGAACAAAGTTGTTACTAAGAAATATCATGGAATTTATTTGAATGCAACAATTAAAATATTTAATGTAAAATGATACATTAAATTAAATTTGAACAGGATATAATAATATAGAATCATACTTTATATGTAACTATCGTGAGACTTCTTAATTTAATGAAAATAACGCCTTAATCACGTGAGTCAACTGAGAAAACCTCATGATGCGCACGCAGCTCATGAATATGAGTCCCGTTGTGACTTGTAACTAGTAGAAAATTTGGAATGAGCACCTAGGTTCACCGACGAACGGACTGACAGATGACTTTTCTATTTTGACGTTTCAAAAGTACCTATTTATGGTTTAGTTGGAATAAATGATTTTGACTTTGACTTGACTCGACTCTTGACTTTAGAGCTTTTCTCAGTTAGTTCACGCTAGTCGGCAATTTCAATGAATAAAGACTCTTTCTTATCACTACATAGTTTTATTTATGATGTTATAATATTTAATATAAAAAAGTAAAATACTAACCACAGTGCATCGGCTTAACACAAGTTTCACACCACCCCATGTTTAATAGCCACAAAACCACTACAAAGTTTGAAGGTTTCAGTTAACGTTTGCAATAAACTCATAGACACCCTATAAGTGCTGTATTGTTTCATTATGAAAGCACTAGTCGCATAGCTAGGTAAGTCAATTATGTTTTTTTTGTCATAATTAGTAGTGTAGAATTGGGGTTCCTGGATCAAAAAATCCAGGAACCCCAATTCCACACATGAAATATACCTACTAGACTATCAATCAGTTGGGGCTAATCGTAAACTTATGATTCAGTTTGTAATATTCAGACTGGTTTGATTTTAAGAGCAACTGTTTTAATTCATTTAAAAACTGGCACAAATTCTGACTTGGTCTATTCTGTTATCTGGGTGTGTATTCATAATTCTAACCTGATCTGATCTGTTATCTGGGTGTGTATTCATAATTCTAACCTGATCTGATCTGTTATCTGGGTGTGTATTCATAATTCTAACCTGATCTGATCTGTTATCTGGGTGTGTATTCATAATTCTAACCTGATCTGTTATCTGGGTGTGTATTCAAAATTCTGACCTGTTTCTTGAGCTTAATATTTAGCAGGTGTTTAATGAAATACATTTGGTCTTATTATTACGATATCTTTATTTAAATAAACAGTATCGAGAAACATAATTACAAAATCCAGACCCGAACAAACATCAACTCTTGTTCGTGTGGGAATCGAACCCACGACACTTGGTTTAGATGGTTAAAGAACATGTTATATTGCACTCAGTTGTGACCAGGGTCTTAACCATTAAGCCAAACGTGTCATCGAATATGTAACAAAATAGTGAAACACTTCAAGCACTTTGTTTACATTAATGATACGTGTATTGTATGACATCATTCATTCGATGCGCTTCCATATACGGTTTTCATTGCAACATGAAAGATTTCTCACTAACACAATTCTTTACGATGTTTTGCCACTGACTGACATATTCCCCTCCTTTCACAGCGTTTAAATAAAAACACTGTGGAAAATTTATAGCATGCTGCATCCAAGGATCATCATAAATTTCCCAATCTTCTATAATACCTCCACATGAAAAACATGCTGCTTTATCATATGGATTAATTCCGTAATAAAAGAATCCAGCATCAGCCATTTCCATCACTAATCTTTTCTTTGAATTATTCGTCCCCCAGTAATAATTAAAGGATAATTCACGTATTTTGTATGTATTATACATATCATATCGAGGTTTATATTTAGTTTGATACATATTTTATTTATTTAGTTACTAGTTCTTGATGCTAATAATTATAAACATAGAATGACATTGCTTTAATGCTGCAAGCAATTTATAAACGTGATTGTACAGGATTGGCAGAGATAGTAAACATATTGTAAAAAAATGAAACAAGTTTTTATTTATTTCATAAAAATTTTATTATCATGGCACCATTTATTTAAACACAATATATTTTTTAAAGCACATACAGAGTTATGATAAATACAATTATACATATCTTCAGAATGTTTATATTGATCATATAAATGTACTAAACTAGGACAACCTTTATCTTCTAAATTAAATATATTACTGTTACTATTTTCTAAAATATGCTTTAACCATAAAACTTTTTCCGAACCTTTAACATAAACACATTTATCTCTTAATATATCGGAAACCAAAGTCTGGTAATTGGAATAAGGTACAAATCCTTCACTCCAGTATATCTTTTTGTTACGTTGAATCCAAAGAACTACCTTTTTTTCAGATTCCGTTAAGTTTTTAAATGGAAATGGTGGCTTAACTAAAAACACTTGTAGTTTTTTGTTACACAGTATAGCGATTTCTTTTAATATAAATTCATCTGCTTCTGTTCTAAATCCCTGAATATCAACAACAGCAATCATGATAACCTGCGCACAATGTTGCTGAGAGGTTTGTATTCCACAAGTCGATCGTTTATAATCAAACAATACGCAGTTGTCTTATCTGGTATTGGTGTGGAACATTCAACTTCTAACCGCACGTCCACTGGACCGGTTTTCAAACTATCGTTTTGTCTTGAGCAATCTAAGATGAAAAGGGGGGCCTTTTCTTTAAAATCTGTTAGATTTAGCAATGGGTCTACAGGACTGTTGTAATACGACTGACGAAATTTCACATACATTTCATATAATATACTGTACTTGTTCTCAGAAAACTTTAAACTTAAAGGTTCGTAGGGATAATATTGCGAATTCAAAAAGAGTGTTACATTGGTCACTTCACAATGATCGAATAGTGAACTGTCTTTAGTCCTATTATTTCTCCTATTAGTTTGCAAGCAAAATATAACATATCTAGGCTTTTCCAATTGTGAAGCTGTTTTTACTGACCAAGAATGCTTTGTAGTTTTAGGTAGCAAGGGATACTCATATAAATCCCAATTTCTAAAAGCCATCTGAATAGGTTTATCTCTTTCTAAATGTTTTAAAAGTGTTAGTCGTTCTCGATCTGACACTTTTATATGTGGCACTCTCCACTGAACTCTTTGTATATCTATTTGAAAATTAACAACATCATCAGTCAGAATAACACTATTTAAGTTAGAGTTACTTCTACTCAAAATAAGTTCGTGTTTACAATTTATCACAATTTTATTGTAATCTTCTGCAAACCCTAAAACCTTATTCAATGGTATCACGGCACTAAAATGTCCATCACTTTGGAATCCCGCTAAGTTCCAACCCCATAAGGCTGCAACTTTATTTTCTGCTTCATTTAATGAAATGTATG